TAATTTTTTAGGTGAGTGTAGAAATCTGCTCAACTTGTCCATAAAGTATTAATGATGCTTAAAATGGTGGATGTAGAGTAATAATGTAGTTATTAGAATACTGTATTACCGGAAAATCAGATTGTGGGATCTAAAAGCAAGGATATTATTTTTATTTTAACTTTGGAGAGGAAACATCTATATGGAGCTACTCAGCTGAGAAGCTGTGTTCCCAATTAATAATGTAACACACTACACAGGTCTATGAGAAAAAACGCTTAAAGTTTTATGACATTTTGACCATCGCGAAAGGGGGTGTTGTGTATTTATATTTACACTGTAGGGGTAAGATGATGAAAAACTAAAATAATAAAAAAAAATTTAAAAGTCATTCAATAAATAAATCTATGACCTACAAATGTATCTGGATATAAATGTGACGCTAAAAACATTGTCAAGTGGTTAAAAGCTGCAGCTTACAAAGTCAAACAGAATGGAAGTTTCTCCTAATGTTTAGAGACAACTTCTCAGCTAGAGTTTAGATAACAACATAAGGTGGCCATCATTCTGTCTGGGATTTGATCTCACATATGCTTCCAAGTATTATGTCAATGGACTGCTTACACTTAGACTTTTTCTGCACTGATGAATGCAAACAAGTGCCATCTACATACTAAGTTCTAAAAATGTTTTGGGAATAAAACACATCACTCATTACTTGGGCAAAAGTAAACATAAAAAATGTCAGCATACAGAATATGATTGCAGGTAGTGTAATGAAAAGGTAAAAAGTAGGCTATTATAGGAAATATAGCCTACAACATTTAGCCTACTAAATTTTGCAGCTTAGGCAGTATAGCCATGGGGGGGGTAATTACAAAGCAATAGTTATTTAAGTGTGACTTAAGTGCATAGGTTCACCACGCAGCCATATTATCCTGAATAACTTGTGTCCTCTAGGCTACATAGTAATTTAAATTTCTTCTGGGATAGAGGATGTCTCTTCCATACATATATATATATACACACACATTAGATATTTAACGGCAGCAGGCCAACTGCTCTGCCACTTAACATCATAATGGCAAAACCCAACACAATGGTAGATCTACGGTATTAGTGTAATGTCGGTTCACACACAGGATTATCGCTGTGGTAAGAGATGCACAGATTAAAGTTTTCCTGGCTGATTCCAGAAGTCTGACCTGCCGATTCTAATTGTAGCCGATTCCGATTTTATTTCTTTGTAAGATCTATAACTGACAGCATACACAAACATTTTTGTAACTATTTATTGGAAAAATCTATTTTCCCCATCAGCACCAGTATAAATGTTAGCTATTCTCACTGGTCTCAATTGTATTGCCATAATGAAACACTGATTATAAAATAACGTTTCTCTGGAAGGAGCTGAAAATAAATTCCACAAAATTTTAATTCTACTTAATTCTCCAATTTATTTTTGTATTTAATCACAACTACAGTAATCTGCTCACTTTGCTTTTCCCATCAGACACACAAGCACACACCTACACCTGTCGTCTCTCTCTGTCTGCTCTGATTTATTTGTCAGCAGTTTTATTTAAAAGAACTCTGTTTGGGTTTTCCGCTATTCCGTTTTCACAGCAGCAGATGAGCCGCGTGTGGAGACTTGTTGTTAATTACAGAGACCACCGTGGTATGACTGACATCATCACCGACAGCTGTGTTAACTCTTTACCTGCCCCCTGCTTTACAACATCCACAGCGTCTCTTTCTGTGTGTTTCTCTGCAGAAGTAAATAGTGAGCGTTGCGTCTTCTTCACTCTCGTGAATAACTTCCACACACCTAGGACATGTTTGGCCTGTGTGTGTGGATGTGACATGAGGTTACTGTCTGTGCACACATGTGAAACACGGCGCAGAGCAGCGTGTTTGTAACGTTAAACGTGACAGGCAGAAAATTGGATAGCCTGTTTGACACTGCTGGACCCGGTCACTGGTCAGAGCCCAGTAAGCGAAAATAAAACGCCTATTTCAGTCCCCAGCTGATTAATCTGCACATCTCTAGCTGTAGAAGAAGAGTTACAGTCCAATAAGCCTTTAAATAAGATACCAAATAATCTAGGTAATGTTATAATAACAGCTAGGTAATGTTATAGTAATAACAGAGTGGGCAATGCCTCCGTGCCAACAGGAAGTGCCCCGTGCTTTGAAGTAACTTTTACTAGGGCCAAAACAGCAGCTGTAACATAGTGGCGCTGGAAGACATTTTCGCTTAGGTGCTGCAGAGTAGAAATGCCCGCATACAAAAGTTATGCAATTACAGCAATGTATTGCTTTTTGCAGTAATGCAGTTATATAACACATAACTAAAAATAAATGGTAATATTTTACCCTTTACAATCTGAGTAAGGCACCTTACAACTCATTTTAACCCGAAGTTAAGTGATTTTTTTACACCTAGAAATATTTTGGCACCAGAAAAACAAATCCATGAGTAAAAGAGTAACATATTTCCTGTTGCAGGAATCTGATGGTCGAGATTGAAGGCAGAGTGCAAAGTACAGGAAGCTCGGCTCCTCTTAACAAGATGGTATCTCCCCATCATGCATAGCCTAAATATATTTCTATCGGCTATAGGTGTGTTTGTGCTTTAACTAATTACTTTCATAATTAGAGAGGCTGCTGTCAGTTCACCCTGACCGATCCTGTCAGAGTGTCGGGAGATTCAATCAATGACGTTATGTGGCTCTACCTTGTGCGTAAATGCGCACAGCGTCTTTCTTAATGGGGAGACGATCAGGGGCGTTTCCAGGCTCTTGAAACATTGGGGGCTTTGCCCAGCCCGTTTTCACAATTTGGGCTTTAAACACTTAATATCCTGTATTCTGGTGAACTTTTCTGCACCAATTTATTGAGGAAATGTCTTTATTTATATAAAAGGAAACACAAAATTCAGTTGACAGGTGACGATTCAAAATACAAAAACTATAGTGTAATATGCTGTTATCAGGCATTCTGTATTGCCGTCAGATATGTGTCTCCTGTAAATTCTCATTTAATTTGATCCCTGCTGAGTCTACATACATGCCTACATGCAGGCCTGAAGTAGCATGTGGCACCTTTTCACTTCAGTGTCAAATTAGCTTAATTAATTTTAATTCACTTATAAACTCCTGGACTTTAAGTGCTCCTATGTTTCAGCAGGTTTTCTGCTTATGCTCAAAACTTTCTGCACATTCAGAATCTCTCCCAAATTTCACATTTGCAGAATAATATTTTGAGACAAAAGTCGTAATATTACAAGAATAAAATCGTTACCTGATGAGAATGAAGTCATGCCCTGCGTTATTGCTCTGCTGATATGGTAGTAGGCTACCCCCTTTAGACCATCTGACAGACACAGAGCCCGTCTGGAACTGTACTGGATGAGACGAGTGGCAGTGGTGGTTCTAGACCAATTTTATTAAGGGGGCCAGGCTGGGGCCAATTGTTTTGTCAGAGGGGCACATTCAATCCGGGACAAAAGAGGGAAAGGCAATGTTTTCAAAATGTCTTATTTAGTATATAATGTAATGTTTTAGTGTGTTTCAGTAACTTACAGTTATTTGTTTCAGTAACAGGATCTTTTCAGTAACTCAATTATAGTTTTATTAAATTACATTATACAAAAACAACATTCCTGTTAACTTTAGCTCACGTTACAGGACATTGTTTGATGCAACACTTCTTTGTAAGGCTTAATGAACAGTAGAAGCTCTAGTGTACGAGACTTCTCTGGATCCCAGTTTGTATTTGTATCCCACTATAACTTTTGCTAGGAAACAACAACTTCTCCATATTCACCCCTAATTGCAGAATGATGGAGACACCGATGCACAAGTATAAATGAATCGGTACATGTGCAGCCTACGACGTAGCTACGCACATAGACCCTTTGCAGGAGCATAAATCAAGCTTAATGCAACATCAAACTGGGATGCCGGAGTGGAAATTTAGGGATGGGTTGCTGGTAGGACAAATAGTCTTTCAAGTTGAATATTGCCGTAAAACTTCAATTAATAGCCCGGGCAGCTTAATCACTGAACTCACCCTGCCTCTATCTGGGACAGGCTTCTTTTTGGGACAGGCCTTTAATTAATTTATCATGCCGGTATATATTATATAAATAATACTTTGGTGCTCATTGTTTTTTGTAAAATAAACTAAACGATTGAATTGTGTAGAATCTAAACAATCTAAGGATGTGTAGCATGTCCCTATTGACAAAGGTTTAAACATTTATATTGGTATGCACAATCTAAGCAGCTTGGAAGCAGCTCAAGTTGGCGACCCAGTGTGCTTTAAGAGGGTTTATCCATCTAAAGAACTTCTATAAAAAGCAGACAAGGCCTCAAAATGATTGAGACCTGCATTTATTTGTCAAAATGTGCAGCCACATCAAGCCAGTAAAAGGGACAGGCATCTAATTAGGACTAGGCTTTTAATTGAAGTTTTACAGTATTACAGTTAGTGTCTCTATAAAATGACGGGAAGCAAAGATGTCTCATTTCATGAAATGCCTGTTGCTTCCCACTCCTCGACTCGCAATCTCAGGTGGGAGACGCAAGGAGAGGATGCTATGGAAATCATCTAGGTACAAACTTTTTTAATACATAATTTTATAAAAGAGTGTTGAAACATTTTTCAGACTTTACGAGTTTGTGAGTTTTGACATAGCCAACTCTTTAAATTCATATACAAATTCAATGAAATTGGCGGTAGCCTTTGTTATTTTGTGACTAATGAATATGGACCGTACCCTGTAAGATCAACACATTTAGAATTAACTCAATATGACATTTATCATGTTCAGAATACGGATATTTATACACTCACATAATATAATAGTTTGAGTCCAAAAGTCATTGAATGTACACAGAGGTAAAAGAGATGCTGTAACTGAGAAATGAGAAAGGCCCACAGACTCCACTGAGGTGAGCGACAATTAGAGCTGATCAGCAACAGCCGTGTCACCAGCACAACAGGCCTTTTTAAACCCCACATGTGGCACAGGTGGCATTTTCACTTAGAGACTGGAACAATGGGAGCTCTGCGGGCCTTGCTTGTTTGCGTGCTGACTGTGTGGTTTACCAAAGGTTTATTTTTATATTTTTCCTCTTTAAAGCATAGGCTGTGTTTACAAACTGGTAGTGTTGTAGCCTACAGCAATGTAAAAGTAAGGTTACTCTTTCAGAAATCTTGTGGCTACGAGCGTAAGCTATGCCTTCCCATTAGTTCTGAAAATTCCTGAAATGTCATTCAGCTGTAACAAAGTGCTGGTGAATAACGGCACGTGTGCTGTCCTATAGGCTCTGGTTTGCCAGTTGGAGGCACAACAGAAATTCAGGATGATGAGCTGCAGAGAGTGAGAGGTAAGAACACTTGTGGTGACTAAAATGTTTCAGAGCTATATACTGACACTAACTTACTTTTTAATGTCTTCTGTACAGAGTTTTTGTTGCAACAAGATGCTGATGGAGGTGAGTAGATTCTGTCTCATGCTTGTAGGGTTTAATAAACCTGCTACTGGGATTTCACAGTAAAAACTACACAACAAGATCTACAACAGTTGATGATCAGCCTAAGCCTACTTCATAATTCAAAATCATGTAAACTATATTTTGGCTAGATGGCCTACTAGCCTATAGCATGATGGATGCAGTAAGAACTTAATACGCTGCTTGTGTTGTCAGACTATAACACGACGGGCCTCACCAATGTGACGAACACGACGGGCCTCACCAATGTGACGGCCACGACCCCAGCGCCGTCTCCGGCCACGACGGGCCTCACCAATGTGACGGCCACGACCCCAGCGCCGTCTCCGGCCACGACGGGCCTCACCAATGTGACGGCCACGACCCCAGCGCCGTCTCCGGCCACGACGGGCCTCACCAATGTGACGGCCACGACCCCAGCGCCGTCTCCGGCCACGACGGGCCTCACCAATGTGACGGCCACGACCCCAGCGCCGTCTCCGGCCACGACGGGCCTCACCAATGTGACGGCCACGACCCCAGCGCCGTCTCCGGCCACGACGGGCCTCACCAATGTGACGGCCACGACCCCAGCGCCGTCTCCGGCCACGACGGGCCTCACCAATGTGACGGCCACGACCCCAGCGCCGTCTCCGGCCACGACGGGCCTCACCAATGTGACGGCCACGACCCCAGCGCCGTCTCCGGCCACGACGGGCCTCACCAATGTGACGGCCACGACCCCAGCGCCGTCTCCGGCCACGACGGGCCTCACCAATGTGACGGCCACGACCCCAGCGCCGTCTCCGGCCACGACCCCAGCGCCGTCTCCGGCCACGACCCCAGCGCCGTCTCCGGCCACGACCCCAGCGCCGTCTCCGGCCACGACCCCAGCGCCGTCTCCGGCCACGACCCCAGCGCCGTCTCCGGCCACGACCCCAGCGCCGTCTCCGGCCACGACCCCAGCGCCGTCTCCGGCCACGACCCCAGCGCCGTCTCCGGCCACGACCCCAGCGCCGTCTCCGGCCACGACCCAACCCTGATTGTGTCTCGCATGGTCACATTAGGAGGCAATTAAAGTTTGGGACTTGGTGGACCATATGCAAGACTTCTTTGACTGTCTTTCTGCATGTACCCTCCCTGTTGTCTCTGCTTTAAATAAAACTTGACTTGAGATCTTTCAGAAAAGGGCACTTGTAAACTGACGTTACTTGATTTCTTACAAATCCCTGTAGGCCTATCGCATCTCATTCAGAACTTGAATGTGTTGTCAATCAGGAGCATTCAGAGTTCACACAACTGCATCAATTCAACTCAGTAGCTGCTGCCAGGATGGCCTAATCTTTTCAGTAGATTAACCTGATTGTCCACATAAATTTTGGACTTGCAAGGCTGTAGACCCTTGTATGTAAAATCAGACATGGCTGTCAAATCAGCTATTAATAGCCGATCTTGAGTAAAATGGCTACGCCCCCGTTAGTGCAAGTATAAAATTGCATCAGTGCTGGTTTTGTACACCCAACTCAAATGGTTGGGCCACAAATTTCCTGCCTATTTAGTCCAAAGACAAAATGTTGTGGGGGTTACGTTGCTGAGGCTGGGTTGGAGAAACTGGCTAGCTTTACTGAGTGATGCTGCGTTCCATTTACCTCAGAGCTGGGATTGATGGCGTTCCAGTTAACAAGTTGGAAAACCTCACTCGGCCAGCTGTTTACAACTAGCCAGGTTAGCTGTTTTGTTTGTTCTGTTGGACAGCACTTTATGTACGAACATTTGAGTCCCAAGTACACAGAAGTGCTAATAAACTACAGCTTTCACTAACTGATACCCTGACAGCAATCTTGTATCACAAAGTCGGGGTAGTGCGGTTGTCCCGACTTTCCGAGTCTGAAATCCGACTTCAGGGGGCGATCCAGTTGAAAGTTCCAACTGTCAAAACATGTAAAATGGAACGCACCATGACACATGGTTTGTGTGTTGTGCATTTTAGGCAAAGTCTTAATGCTGAAACACATGAAATTTGGGACAATTTTCTTTTGCATTTAGGTCTTAACCACATTAGACCAAAACGCTACGCGTAGAGCGGTCACAACTGGACAAGATTGTCCCAGAGAGGCACAAATAGGCTTTTCCTTGAAAATTTTGTTTCAGATTTGAGACGTTATTCTCTTTTGCACAGATAGCCTATAGCAAAAAAAATTTATTGACAATTTTAATCTTTTTTGGAACCATTCCACACATTTATGGACTGATGGGGTTCATCCCAGCAGATCAGGAAGCCGTATGTTGGTTAGTAATATCCAGCACGCTGTACAATGCGCCCCATGTGTCTGACTATTTACACCACACACCCCCTCCACAGAAGCTGCTACTTTATGTCCACAGCTGCACAGACCTGCACTGTTTCCATCAGTGGCTCCCCCTGCCAGTCACCCTCATCTTTGATTTTGTATGTAAGTATAAACATGCATCACTCTCATATTCCCATAGTAACGATATCTGTTCGGCCACCTAAATCAAAAGTGAACAGAAGAACAGCTGTGCCTAACAACTTAAAGACTAATACAACTGCTCCAAAAGAAAATAATAGCATGAAAATTAAGTGTGGGCTATTAAATGTCAGATCCCTCTCTTCAAAAGCTGAACCGGTTAATGAACTAATATCAAATCATAATATGGATTTGTTCTGTTTGACTGGGACATGATGATGTGTAAGCCTCAATGAATCCACTCCTCCCAGTCATAGTAATCCGCACATACCTCGAGGCACTGGCCGAGGAGGTGGAGTATCAGCTCATTTTCATTCAGACCTTTTAGTCAAGTCAAAACCCAAACTAAGTTCTGGCTCTTTTGAAAGCCTTGTTCTCGGTATTTCAAACCCGACCTGGACAACTATGCAGCAGATTTTATTTGTTATAGTGTACCGTGTTCCCGGTCCTTACTCCCAGTTTTTATCAGAATTTGCAGAATTTTTATCTGACTTAGTCCTTAAAACAGATAACGTAATGATAGTAGGGGATTTTAATATTCATGTGGACGTCAAGAATGAGAGCCTCAGCACTGCATTTAGTTCACGGCTTAATTGGTTGGCTTCTGTCAAAGCGTTCATAAACCCACACACTGTTTCAACCATACCCTTTACCTAGTATTAACATATGGTATTGAAATTGAAAACTTGGTGGTCTTTCCTCATAATCCCATTTTATCTGACCACTATCTATTATCTTTTGAGTTCCAATTGTTGGACTTCAAGCCACCAAGCAAATATTCCAATACTAGATCCCTATCTGACGGTGTTGTAGTTAAGTTTAAGGATTCAAATGCATCAGTGTGTAACTCAATTCCGTGTTTCATAATACCTCCTATAGACTCCTATGCTAACGTCCATCCCTCACAAATCTATGGTACAACAGTCAAACACGCAAGTTAAAGAGAGCATCACAGAAACTTGAGAGGAAACGGCGTCTTACACATCATGAAGATTCTCATTCAATGTGGCAGGATAGTGTGAAAATGTATAGGAAGGCCCTCCGCAGCGCCAGAACAGCCTATTACTCAAAATGAATAGAGGAAAATAATAATTATAATCTTTATTTGTAGAGCACTTTGTGTTTATGTGTAGTAATGAGATCAGAAAAATAGCGTGTTCTCGCATCCTTAATGTTATGTAGTTGGTTAATAAATCCTTCAGACTGAGGTAATGGACTTGGAGACTGGATTTTTCCATCTGCGCTCTGCTTTCCTGCATTCCCTTTTTGGGCTGCGAATGCTGTCTTTTATCCAGGTTGCTTACTAGCTTTAGACGTAGGCCTAACCTTTAGAGGAGCAGTAATATTTAGTGACAACAAGCAGATATGATTGAAGAGATCAACTAGATTGTTGGTGTTGGAATCAGACAGGTGTTGGCTTTGGCTCTGAAAGAATGTGCAAAACGTTTAAACACTTTGTTCATTAAAGCTGATATTGTACAACTGTATACTAACAAATACAAACAAAAATTCAAGAAAAAGACTACTTTGGCTATTTAGTTGAACTTTGACCTGACCAAGCAGTTCTTCCCTCCTATGTTTTATGAGAGCAGCTTCTCCCCTATGAGTAAAAAGCCTACCAACTGTACTGCACCAAACAATGCGCTTAAAAAAACGTGACTCTTGCTGTTTACATGAATAAATGCACAATATTATAGAGCATGCAATCAACTGCTGTTGCTAACGCATTTGTCTCGGTCCAGGTGTATTTATTTATTTTCATCTAATGTCACCCTGGTATAACGTTAGTGCTGCATTATGCTACTGATCCGACCGTTCTGAAAGATCTATAGCCAACTCTTACTTCCGGGTCACCTGGCTCACCGGTCTCTTTTCTTAACTATCTTCAAACGGAAAATGAAAATAGGAATTTCATAAAACCAAATCGGACCATTATTTGAATTTGGTTTAGTTGTTTTTGGATTTAGAAACCAAAATGGGAGAACGTGTCTTTTTTTTTTTCGTTTTAGTTTTTGGTTTGAAACGACAAACGAAAAAAAGGTGGTTTATTCGTTTTGTGGTTCAAACGAAAAAACAAACTATCAGAACGTACACGGACCAAATAATTTAGAGAGACTTGAGCGTTTTCGTTTTTTGGGAATGTATTTTATTAACATGGAGAGAACATATTAGATATGGTGTCAAAAAGGTAGGCTATAAATGTCATGAGGTGGAAGTATACGGTTCAGTAATCTGTATTAGCAGACCTGGATGTTATACAAGCTTGGGCTTTAAGAGTGAGTTTAGAAGCGGTTAGGACCTCCCCTGTATGTGCTCTCCAAGTTGAAGCAGGTGAAATGCCACTGTGGTTGAGACGCAGGAGTATGATAAAGAGTTTGGCGCAAATGTGGTGTGGCCTATTAGACCTGTCGGGAATTAGAAACACCATGGGTAGATTTGGAATTACGTAAGATTAAATGCAATAATAAAACTGCTGATTTAACTATGTATATTATAGCTATAGGGACAGTAAGGAAAGTATTCAGATTTTTACAGATGGGTCAAAGGACATGCAAACAGATGCAACAGAGTCTGCAGTTGTTGTTCTTTTATCAAGTAGAACATCTGAAAATCTGAGTGTTTACAGTTGAACTGTTGGCAATATTGATGACTTTGGAATGGATAGAACAAATTAGTTATAAGGAAATATTAATATGTAGTGACTCTGCAGCCAGAAGTCACCTGGACCTGCTGTATGAAGTCCCCGGTGAAAAAGTTGTACTTTTTCTTGATGCACTTATCACATTTTAATTGTACCATACTAAGTGTATATTAAATGTGTTATTTTGGAACAACTTAAAGTATGTTAAGTGTTCTTTTAGAAATACTTAAACTCAACTTTAAAATAATTGCAATATATTTTAATATACTTAGCTGTGTTAAAATGGAACAACTTTAAATAAATTTACTCTAATTTAAATATACTTATTTAAACTTTTGTGCTAACAGCTTAAATATGTTTTGAACATTATTATTAACATTTCTGATTATTAGTTTCTTACTAGTATACTCCAAGAGCCGCTATCAATATACTACAAAGCTGCTTTATGAAACCATTCAGTAAGACAATAATTCATTATTAATGCATTAAAAATACCTTGCTGAATGCCCATATAGCATAATAAATATCAGTAAAAAAATGTATTTTAAAACACACACATACAGACAACTAGAAAACTTTAATCTTCTGTACATTACAAAAATAAATTCCTGGACAATAAAAGGTACAGCAGACCAAAACACGTTCAAATAAAATAAAATGAAATGACCAGTATTACTTAACAAGTTGCAAACTATTGGTAAAGGGCATTCATTATTTACAAAAAGTGATCTGCTCCTGGGTCACAGTGCAAGTCAACAGAACAGGCTTGTCATTTTCTTACATTAGTACTTTGAACCTTCCCCCTACTGTCAGGAGCACTCATCATTTAATAATATAAATTTAATTAAACTGGACACAGACTTGTTTCTACCGAAATCATGAACCGCTAAACTCGTGCGCACAGATTGTAAAAAAGGCGAATTTTACAGTATTTTATCCAATAATGGCTTTGATACTGACCTGACAGCATTGATTGCC